TGACTGCTGCTGACTTTGGATTTTTTAATCAGAATTAAGGATTGGGTTACAAACTAAACTCCCAGGATTCTTATCTGATGCGCAGTTCCACATGAGAGCTGCGACGGGCGACAAGCACGGAGGCATTTCGGGATCGAAATTTGTCACAAAGTTTCGTTTGACAAGGGAGCTATGGCTGCCTTGAAAGCACCTGCCGAGAGTTCTGCGCCCGTTCATCCGACAGTTTACCCAGCTAGTTATCCCTCGGGGATAGTGAGAAACGGCCCTAGCAGTTCGTTTATATCTTGACTGGCGAGGCAAATTCGACTGCCGGCGATGAATTGAGTAAACACGCCGAGTCCCGAAACGGGCAATGCAAATTTGGCGCGTAATTGAAATAAAATGCGGCAGTGGTTACTCAAAATTTACGATACGCATGTAATTTTACTTTTATATTTTTTTTCCTTCCGTGTTTTTACGACTGCAATTTTCTCCTTCACAAGTGCTGTTGAAAAATTTATCCACTCTCAACTTTACGATTCTCGATCGATTATGAGCTGCGTTGAGTTGAAAGCGCGCGCGGAGAGTTGCTCTTGTCTGTGTGCGTAGGGCGAAATGGAAATTCTGACGAGGCGAGCTTCGTTACAGGGAATTTCTTCATGCAAGTTCAAGTGACACTTTGCATTTTCTATATGGGGAATGCGGCTACTGGTTCTCGTTAAAGGAGGTGTTTCAATCACCATGAACGTTTTAACGAGACTTCTCTACTAATGTGGTAAAATATGTTTTCAAAGACACACTAACAATAAGAAAGCATGAGGTGCGGATTTATTAAAATTTGCTTTGGTCATGAATTTCAAATGCATTCTGCCTTATTAAAACACAAAATCATGAGGTGCTCGAAAAAATTTTAATGGATTTCGTTGTACTAGTGAAGAGAAACAATGACTAGCAATGTAAAAGTTTCTTTTTTATTGTTAAATTTTTATATTCTTTATAGTTCTCGTTGGTGGTGGTGTTGTTTTGTCCTTTTTTAATTAAAATTCAAATTTTTTTTAACTCTGAATGTAAACAATGTATTGTAACAATGTATAAATAATAATAACAATATAATAAAGTCACGTTTTTATTTTTTATTATATTTGTGATTCAATAGAAAAATAATATTTTTAATTATTATTTAAAACTTATTAAGATGAACCGTTCTAATTTGTTAAAAATTCCTATTTTCCAAGAGAGTAATTCTTAAAATGAATTTTCTTTTTTTTTATTATCTTTTCGAAGGATTAACAAGCATATTTTGAGAAATTTAATTACATGTGACCTTTGTTCCACCAGTACCGACAGTACATTAGCTAATTTTTGTGTATGAAGTGATTCACAAGTTAAAATTGCGCCGCACGTTCTCAAAAAACAAACGCACGCTGCTCGGACTTGTTTGAGTTTGTGGAAAATGTTATCGATTTGAGGCGGCGCCACCTGCACGGCCGCCGGTGCTCACAGGCCGGAGGTTGCGTGATGCCCAAGATGAACAGGTGGTATGCAAAATAAATTGAAGTTGGAAGAGCAGCAGATTAGCTAGTCTAAACGCGTACAAACGAAAACGACTCATTGTTCTCCTGCTTCTATTGTACGCTGGGGCATTTTAGAAAGGAATTTGAACTTTTCCAAAAAGGAAAAAGATGCTTAAGTGATTGGATAATTGCAATTATTACCTAATAAAATTCTGAAATTTTTTAGGAACATTATCTTAAATATTTAAAATGGAATTTTGTTCTCCTCCCTTAAGTAAGTTGTCAGGTTTTTAGATTTATTTAATGTTCCTTCCTTAATTCTTATAAAAGACCCGAGATGCAATCTAAAGACCTTTGCTATTTGTCTGAAGATAAAGAGCAATGTCAGCTGCTAATGAAAACGTCTAAATTGTAAGACCCTGCAGCAATTGGCTCGGTTTTAATAAAGAAGAAGAGACTTGGACCAAGTCCAATGGAGGCTCTATAAAACGCTGAGCTGTTCCGCAGGTTGGAATCGCAGAATCGACAATAATAATAACCCAGAGTTAAGAGAAATACCATAAATAATTTAAAAATAGTAATTTTAATATTATTTGATTGGTTTTCAGCAATAAAAGTAGAATGCTCTATTTTTGTTAGAAATTTTCCTTTAGCCATTGAAAACTGAAATTTTTAATATGAAAATTGAATATTTATGAGATATTTTGTAAAATTTTTTACAGAAATTGCTTTTTTTATTGTTTTATTTCATCAGTTCCTTCTTGAGCTCAAGAAAACTTTGTTCTTCCTTCAGAGAGTTATAGTAATTCGATTCTGCCAACTTTGACAAAAAGCCGCGTTCGTTGGTACCGAATGTCTGTAATGCGCGTCCTCCATCTCCATCACTCAAACTACAACCATCTTTCTACTTCCATCCGCCACAGACAACTTCGCCCTCACAGAAGTATCATTCGCCATTTATTTGTTTCGGTGAAAACAAATAATACCCTTATAGCCGCTCAAACGAACATGTGAGAAATGATAATGCGATCGCTTTGTTCTTTCACGGATGACAAGATTTGAATTTAAATCGTGCGTCTGGAAATCGCAAATTGCTTTTCGGGTTGAACGGCGACGGCTCTGCAGAAATTGAATTTGCCAATCGGAAATTGCCGTTCTAAGAAGAAGAGACGATTTGAAGGGCTGTAGATCTTGAGGGGAATTGCCGATTCAAAGGAAATAACGCCGCGCAGAAACGGGGCTTTATATTAGTTGGAAGAAATTTAAGTGTTTTAATTTAATGGGAGATTGCGGGGTAAAAATTTTTTAAATAAATTTAATTTTAAAATTAAATAGAGGGATTGTGGATCAAGACAGAAAGATAAGTAAAGTTTTATATTAAAAAAATCTTTAATAATAGCGCATAGCAGGCGCATAGATTACAAAAAGACGAGGCAAAGTGAAAAATAAATGTTTATTTATGATATTTTTTCTATCTCAAAATGAAATTATTAGTTTTATTTAAAAAAATTTGCAGTGCACCTCTCTTTTTATAAAACCCAACCTCAGAACCTGACCGCAAGAGCAAAGTTTCATCACTTTTTATACTTATAACTTTATTTATTCGCTTTATTTTTAACGGAGTACGCGGATATTATTTACATTTTGCACTTATATTATTGCATTTTCTTTTTTCACATTTAAATAAACGCATCCCCACAGAGTAGAGCTGCCTTTTTATTCTAGCAAGGCGCGAGATAAAGAATTCCTCTATTTGTGTGAGAGCACTGCGAATTAATTTTGCATGCGAGTGCTCCGAGTTTTGCGGTCGGCCTCGCTGGCAAGTCTTGCATAATCCGCCACCGCGTCCGCCCCAAAAGCAGTCGTTGGCCTTTTGCTGGCCTCTCATTTCACGCACGACCCTTTTGACACTTGATAGTTTTCCATCCGGCGCAGGAAGTGGAACCCTTTCCTTTTTGCCAAAATAAATGGGGGTGCGTTTCAAAGTGTGGGAGCTCATTATTAGCTAGAGGCAATTATCACGGATAAATAAATAGCTAAAATGAGAGAGTTGTTTTAAAGGCAATGAACATATCGCTAAAATTTAATGATTTTAAAGCACGACTTTTAACTTTTTAAATTAAATATGGAACTAAATTTTCACAAGAAGAATATTTGCTATAGAATTGAAAAAGTTACTGAAGTCTGTAAAATAATTTACTGTTTAAAGAAAATTTTCATCAGTTTTTGGTCATATTTAATAGAGATGTAGATGAATTTCGTTAAATTACTATCTCATTATTTTATGCTCGATCCTATCATTCGATCAATTTATTAAGAGTACTAAATTATTTAGGTTGATGCTTTATTTCTTAATATTAATTATACATTCATAAATTAAACTGTTAATTTCTTTAAATATATTTTAAAATGTATTTTAATTAAAATTGATCAATTTATTGAGGAGATTGATTGGTTAAGGTCAGGTTAATGTAGAATTATCAGTTCCTCTCTGTCAGATTGTGTCCATCACTTTTCAAAATAGTAATCCCTTTTGGAACAAAAACGCGTGAAACATATCATTCGCTTTGTTGATTTCCCATTTTCTACACAGCACTTCACATTTCTCTCCGACTCTCGTTACAATCGGCCGCGTTGGCTGCGTTTTTTTCCGCCCAGGCACACCGACAAAGCGCCCTTTGCTTTTATCTGGCCGGCTCATCTCGGTGTAGAGCTCAATGACGTTTCCGCCGAGCTCGACAACGGTCCGCCCGCCCGCATTCGTTTCACTTACGGCCGCTGGGACAACAAAACCACGGATATTGAGTTTTTGTCCGTCTGTCTCTCTCTCTCTCCCGACAGAGCTTTATAAATTGGCCAGTCGATAAAGTCCAAAAAATGACCGTTAAAAGCATCAGGCGCCCAAATGCGAGCTACATAAATCACGCAGAGTGTACCATTATGCTGGCTGGAGACAAATGTGTTCTACATTTTTTTTTTATCAACTCGTCTAACACCAATTTTTTTATTCTTAGAATTCAGATATGATCAATATCAAAACACATATTACACGTACCATTGGAGAGCGTTCCCAAATTCCTATGTTATTTTTGAAGGAGTTATTTACATAATCAATAATTCATTTCATTTGAAAATTGTAATAGAAATTTAAAAAAAAAATTGCATTTATTTATTGAAAATTTGGTATTGTTAACTTAATAATTAGACATCATGCGTCTGGTTTATAGAATTCAAAATTAAAAAGATTTCACCCTTCAATAACTGAAAAAAACTTAAAAATTTTGATTTAAAAAAAAAATCGTTTCGACAGAAGTTGGTTTCATGACCTTTGAGCAATGTTCAGCAATAGAGAACTGAATCGTAATTGAATTTCACAAGATTGCACCAAAGGGTAGGCAAATCTGCTTGCAGCGCAATCTCACAAAAGCGACGCCACAAAGTACTTAAACGTGCAAGTGGCGCATTCGAGCTGAAAATGAGGCTGTGTGCGATATTTGCGGAACTCACCTCCGACGCCCATCACAATGGGTCCGGCGTAGGAGAAATTGTTCAAGTGGAATCCGCGGCTCTCGTTCTTCACTTTGACTGTGGTGTTGCCTCTGATCTCCTGATTCACCGACAGCTGGTCTGCGTAATAGCCTGTCGACAAAAGGGAGGAAAGTTCAGAATGGAACACACACAAGGTGGAGGGAAACCGCAGGTACAAAAATCGATTTCATCCCTCAATTGACACCAATGGGAATTGATGAGTTCCAATATCTCATGTAATTTTCTAATAAATCATAAAATAATTGCCCAGGTGATTATTTATCAATAAGGAAACTTTGCAAAAAAGATGGAGAGAAGTTGTAATTGTTCCTTGAGGAAACTAACAATCGACAAAGAAGTAAATATTGATCATCTCACTATAAATTCTAAACTTAACGGATATTTTAATATAATTGAAAGTTTGATAATCATTAAAAAATACTTATATAACAGGAATAATTTTAATTTAATTATATAAATTGTTTTCTTATTGAGATTTTGAAGCTGGATGCAAATTAAATTAACTGATATTTTCACTAATTGTGAACTGTTATTTTATCAAAATCAAAATTACTTTTTCTTCACATTTTTTTTTTCAAATTTTATATTATTTTGGTTTTTATGACAATTTATGTTTTTAATGAGTGATATAAAAATTTACTGATTATGATCACATTTTTTCTCTTCTTTAAAAAATGGAGATTTTTTTATTTCACCACAGGCTGTTTTTGTCTTGTTACCATAATGGTGGATTTTGCTAAGGGAGGTTCGCTTGAAAAGCGGCGACACGGCGTGAAGTGTTTCCTTTTTCGATCTTTTGTTGTTGCTTAATCAAGAAGAGCCCTCTCGAGCCGCAACTCCCACGGAAGGAGCACAAAAAATACATGCTTGGGGATGTTTCGCATCAGAGAGATTGGTTCCGCGGGTTGCATATATATATATCCAATCCCAAAAACCCGCTTTTGGTTGTATTTTTCTTTTACCAGCGTTCGACTTGGGCAAAACGCCACAAGCATCGCTTCCCTCATTAAAATAATTACTCTCCAGTTGTCGACGACGACGTTTTCCCGCCCGCAGAGTAATGTGTGTAATTATTTTTAATTATTTCACTTCGCCACTCGGGGAGAGGCTGAGCTAAAAATAAACTGCCAGCTCGCGACTCGCATTCTCCGCAGTGCGAGAAGGAAGAACGGCCGTGCGTAATCGTCATCATTATCAGTCCGTAAAACTTTGCATGAAGAGCTCATTTAGTTTGTAGTCCGACAGAATGAGTTTTGAAAAGCAAGGAAAGTTTGCAGCTTACTTAATTTTGTTTGTAATTTATATATAGTTAATTTTAGATTTGAGAACTAATGTTAAAAATGTGTGAAAATCTAAAAATTTAGCAATAATAAAAGAAGAAAATAAAATTAATATATTTTATTATGAACATGGGATACTTAAAAAGTGGAGAAAACAAACTGAAAATGGTCAAAGAATTTCTGTCGTCAATTTAAAGGAACCTCAGAATTTCTTAATAATTGACTGTGAACTGTTCAAATATTTGCCTCTACAATTTTTAAATATTTAGTTTTGGCAGAGCACTTAAGGTTATTTCCTTTTCAGTCTGATTATTAATTATTAAAAGAGTGAAATTGGAAAAAAATTCATTCCTGCTTTACTCATATTATTTAAATTTAATGGAAATTCTTATTTAAAACGCATTTATAACTTTTCTTGCCTGAGCACCTTACTTTGCAGAATTCACAGAACTTACTTTCATTCAAACTCAATTTCACCTTTCTAGAGTGCCGAATTATACTTCTTGTGCTTCAAGTCAGTAATGAAAATGGATTCGTAACGAGCTCCGACTGAATAACTTTTTTATTAGCTTACTTTCCGTCTTGTCCCGTTTTGCAGCCGAGATATTGAGACTAAGAAGAAAAGACTGGCTGCGGGCTGCTTTTCACAATGACGAGCAGAGAGGCTGCGTGTGCGGTTTTTATCTGCACTATCGTGTGCCACCGTTGCAGAACCACTCGAAGCGAAACGAGGCTGAGTTAATTAATATCTGCGGCTGGGGATTAGAACTGTCTAGAAATGGGGCATACATTTTTTGAGGCTTTTAAATTTGCCAATAAATTATGAAGTAAAAATTTATACAGCATAATACAGGATAACTGCATAATTAATTTCCTTTAATATATGGAAATGCAATAAATGAACATATTTAGGAAAAACTAAATTTTCTATTTCTGATTTGAAAAATTCATAAATTTTGAACCATATTAATACTTTATTTAGAAATTTTTAAATAAATTAAACAGTTTAATTTATAAATAAAATTCAAATGCAGTTAAATAAAAATCTCACTTTATATTAACTATGTCCATAAATTAACAGAAAAATTAAAGGGACACTCTAGCTATTGGAGCAAAACTCAAATCTGATCAGTTCCCTATTAAATTCACAATTGTAACATTTGATAAATAACGGATAAACAAATATTAAAACAGCAAGATTGCAGAAGATGCGGAAATATTTTTCAAGAAAAATACGAAAATAATGATGTTTTTTATGTGAAAATATTTTTTGTTGTTAAAATAGACAATGCAATATTTTACTTATATTTATAAAAAAAACCAATTAAAATTTAGCTCTTGAATTGTTAATATTTTCCAGGCCACGAATTTGTAATTTTTATTCTCACCAAGAATGGCCATTCCGGCGCCGAGGACCATGAGGATGATGCCGAGGGAGAGCGCCTTGCACGCGTTCCACAAACACTTGGACGTCACCTTGCCTTTGACCACCTGCACGTTCCAATCGCCGCGGCTGGCGTTCGGTGGCCGCTGCGAAGCCGCCGTGCGGCCTCGGCCCTTCTTGCTGGCGACGGCCGCGGCCTGGTGCATCGTGCTGCCTCTCTTGCTTTCAGTCAGCCGGGGACGGCCAGCGGGGGCGGAGGGCCGACCTGCCACCTTCCACGCTCTGATAAGACTGCCTCCAGTGCCTCCAGATCTTCCACTGGACCACTCCGAGATCCAACAGGTGCGACTCGCGTGCCATCTGCCGCCGACCAGATCCGGGGTGGAATGGGGTTGGCCTCTGCTGCAGCCTTGTGGGGTTGCGGGAAAACACTGCGAAGGGTTGGAAAATGAGTGGGAAAAGCTCGTCTGGTTCAATTTCCACGCGTCCGAGGGCGTTTGCCGCTTCAAAATGGAAGAAATTGGATTTAACTTTGTATCAGCCAATTTTCAAAATATTTTAAATTTGCGTTTGAAGCAAGTTTACAGTTATTGTATTCTGTTTTTTTTCCTCAAACCAGTTGATGTTTTTAAAAATTGAATCAGTGATGTAACGATCAAAAAAATTCAACAAATACACAACAATAATTATTAAAGGATTCCTTATTGGCATAATCTAATCAACAACAATAGGAGCTATTTTTGGCAATTATTGTAAAATATTTGAAAATTTTACTGCCATCGTCATAAAGACTTGATTTTAATATATAAGTGAATATTTAAATAGAGGGGGCCCACAACGGAGGATGAAGTCTTTTTTATCTCTTGATAAAAAGTTATTGCCTTTTTGTGTGAAACAAATCAATAATTACAATTATTTTAAGTTCGCGCATTACTACAAAAAGAATAATAATAATATGCCTGTTGTTTGAGTCTCTAATTGAAATACAAGTTAAGCTTTTAACTAATCATGAGAACGCTTGCCAGTCGCTCGGCATCAATAATATGTACAACTTATGCTATAATTGTTGAGATACATGAAACCGCATGAAGCCCGGGCCACGTAAAACTTGAATCTTTTTCATAAAATGAATTACTGAAAATTGAAAGCAAATTAGATTATTATTTGAGTTACATATTTTGAGTAAAAGAAATAAAACTATTTATTTTTAGATTATTATTTTAAATTGTTCAATTTTGTAAAGATTTCAAAATAACTTTGATTTGCAATTATAGTTGCAATGATCTTTATCAAAATATTAACACCACGAGATTCCCCAATTTCCCCATGTTTTAGTTATGTTATTCCTCTAAAGTTCACTGCATTTATAGAACCCAAAAATCTTAAACTGAAGAAAACCGAGTTCAATTTATTATTTTCAATGTTTTGTAAGTTAAATTTGTTGAGCTGGTATCTTGTTGCCGCCTTTTTTGTAGCGCCACATGATCAGTGTCATCAGCTGGACTAGCTGGAGTAACATCATGCATGGTGTGTTTTTCTTTTGCATGCTGATTTGGGCCGAAAATCGTTGCCGAAAGTGCCGAAGAGACGATCGCCGAGAGAAAGAACACCGGCGGCTGTTCAGCTAGGCCACGATTCAACACGTTGCCAACGCCAGGTGCGTATAATTATTTGGGAGCAGTTGCATGATTTTCGTTTCCTTCACCATTTTGGCCTAATTGATGAGCTTAATTTAGTCAGTTAGGGCGTTTTTTCCAGTGATTCAGAATGAAAGTTAAACAATTTTCTTCATTATCAAATATCACATAGAAACTTAAATAATTTGTAAAAAAAGTTAAATAATCCGTGATAAATTCGTCACGTCAATGAGACTTCTGAAAATTTTGATAGGTATTTTCAGAAAATCGATATATTTTATTTAAAATTATAAATAGCGCGGAAATTAAGTGAAAACGTAGTTTCAGGGAAGAGAAATATCAATTTTATGACATCAAAACACCACGACACAGAGAGCATTCGGGATTTCCATCAATTTCCCCAATGAATATCAACATGCTAATGAGAAATTTAAGCCAAATAGGAGAAGAGAGTGCCGTTTTCCGTGGTGGCCAAGTTCTCCAAAAGGTCACATACATAGGAAAGGCAGACAGGCAAAGCTCTACTTGCAAATTTAACTCTGAAGTTATTAGAATTGGGTCTACGTTTCATGTCAAGGGCAGTGTGCAGACGACGCAAAACTTTAAGAAAAACAAATTTAAAATTATTCTCTTTTGCTCTTTAGGAGATATTTTTTATGCAATTATTAATGTATCATCAATTTATCAATATCAAGTTAATTAAACAAATTTTTTAATTATTTATAAAGGAGTAAATTTCTCAGAAATTTATATATATATTTTTTTTCATGATTGTAAGTTTTGAAGAGATCTTGATTGATTTTTGCAAGAGAGATCAAAGAAGTAAAAATTGAATTTTGATATTATTATTGTTGTTGGTCAATTAGGACAAGAAAATGTAGCAAAACTATCAGTGGTTTTTTTCTTCTATAGAGACATGGGCCTTGCTGGTGCCTGCCTGGCCTTTGTTTCCTTTGTTCGAAAAGACAGCCAAGCACTTTTCCATCCGATGATTTTCTTGGCAAAGGAAACGAGAGCTTTCTCTTGTGGCACGCACAAAAAGCAGATAGACGTGGACAAAAAACGCATGTTCGCACTGCCCCCAGGGTGGAACCTCCAGTTGGCCGAGCAAGGAGGCAAATCGGCTGCTGTGTGTGTTTTTGTTTCTGGCCCGGCTCGGAAAACGGAAACGCGCGGCGGAGAAAGCGTAATAATCACTAATGGCTCTGTAATTATGCGACTAACTAAAGGCCAATCAACGCAGCCAACACGCCACTCCCACTAGGTTAAAAGAGAGAGCAGTTGGAGCGCCTCCAAAAAAGCAACCCCCTTGCTGCACACGTCGCTTTTCTTCGCCCCTCACCCTTAATAGGCCCAATTTTATCGCGGGACCAAATAAAAGCCGAGCAAAGCTCTTCTCGGAACAAGCGGATTTTCTCAGACGTTTAATTAAATTCAAGATTTGTTGCGCAGCGCAATAAAAACGGGAGGGTTTTAAGAATTTAAACTAACGTTAGTGGAGAAATAAATGAAAAAATTTATTTAAAAAATAATTTTCAAAATTCCAATTTATTATGCTATCTTGTAAGAAACTTTGTTCATTGAATCCCTAACTTCTGAACGCATCGTGCCTTATTATTACGGATATTAAATTTATCCAAATTGAGTAAATTTACATTTTTTACTGAAATAAATTTTGCTATTAAAGTAATAATCGAAAATAATAATATTTTAGCAAGTTTTTTTTTTATTAAAATTAAGTTTTTTTGCACAATAGTTGATAAGAAACTACATTGTTTGAGGTTTATTTGAAAATTAACATTGTAGTTGATTAACTACAATTTCAAAATGTTACAATATCATTTTTTTTTTTTTTTTTAAATATGATTTTACAGCTTTCCCACATTTCTAAATTTAACTATCAAAACTATTCAAATTCTTAGAACAATTTTTTGTTGTGCTGACTTTTGAAAACTGAATTCAGTGTGAAAATATAATTTTTCTGATCATTGCAGTCGGAAAGCATTTGCGACAATCTTTTTTAATGTCACGCGAGGTATCAATATAAGAGAGTATATCGGGAAACGCGACGACAATCTCCGTTGCAAACCTTAACAAAACGCTCTCCTTTGTGCTGGAGATGTGGAGCTGAAAATGCGTGCCTAAACTCGTGAGCATTTCCGGGCCCTATTTAACCTTAAGGCCGATCGCACGCTGAATGGAAAAGTAATCACCCACGGCACAGGCGAGCGTAAGAAAAAGATATATATTTTTCCCTTCGGCTCTTTGTAGAGCCGATCGACGATCCGATTAACAGATATGCAACCGGCACGACAGCTCTAGTTGCTACGCCGTCTTGGAGCGTTGCTGTGGGCACACATCGGAAAGTGAAAGCGACTATTATGGGCAGCTCGATTCTTTATATCGGCACAATAATTTGTTAGCTACATTATGCTAGTCTGTTGTTGAATTCAATACTGGCAAATTAACTTCAAACTAAATTGAAAATTTTAAGTTAGAAAAATTGTAAGACATTAATAAAAATTCCCTCTTGCACTAGAACCTTTAAGAATAGAATTTTCACTTATTATTATTTTTCATACTAGTTTTTATAAATTTAGTACTAAAGTTGACACAGAAGTTTTTTTTTAAATGGGAATATTAATTTCCAATTAGAGAAAAAATATTCAATACTAATTTAAAGATTATTAAATATGTATTAATTTACAAATAACTAATATATTTGATCTGGATAGACAGAAATTAAATTTTGTTTTTAATGTTTTAATTAAAAATTAAAATCAAAGTAATAATCAAATGCTTTTCATCATCAATATTGAGGAAATTATTTAATATTTTTTTTAAAGTACGTAATAAAGAATTTAATCAAAAAACAAAATAATTTAAAATAAGATATAAATGCTAGATTAAAATTTGCTTCAACGCACTTTTAATACTTAATTAAGAAGAGCATAAATTAAAATTATTTTAAATATAAAAAATACGAGCTTAAAATTTTAATTGCTTAATTTGTATCATTATTCATGTAGTTTGCAAAATAATACAGATATTAAAGCTCAAAATTTCTAGCCATGAGTTGCGGCGAGGAGAATTCGGTGGTTTTCGTCCAGCCGACGCTATGTTTTTTCTCTTGAGGGCACAAGGGGTGAACGAGGGGTGCTACCGTGGGTATGGTTTTGTTACAGTCTCATTATTAACGACCCGCCGCATGAATATGCAAGTGCATGTGGGGCGACCGTTGGCCGCAAAAGGTGGTTGTCTCGGCTCATTTTTCACGTGTTTGAGGAAATTTTCCAGGCCACTGGGCGCTCACCCCTCCGGCTGCATCTCTCACCGGCGTCTGGGCGCGCTAATGTTTGCATAATGTCGCCCCAGCGTCAACAAATCCGCGCTGATCCTTTCAACCGCGCGCCCTCGCCCACCGCTGAAAAGAAACGGGCCGCCTGAGAAATCGGCCTCGCTGATTTGCTCTCAAGGGCCATTATGTGCGAATCCACAACCTCCTCATCACACATTTTCGAAGGCTTTGTAGCCAATTGATAAGATAAATTTGCCATAAAAAATAAAAATTTAAATGTTTTTCTTCCTCATTATTTGAGTTCGTTTGAATCAGTTTGAATAAACATATTTTATATTT